AGTTTTTGCTGAAGAGCAGCTGACGTATGGAGCAGCTTTTGAGTCCTAAGGCCATACTGTGCGAATAATGCGAGGCAGCGAAGAGGCCAGTTCATGCAGTCAGTCTCTCTACGATTCGTTCATTCATTTCGTTGGTAGTAAATTGGTTGCGATTTGGAACGACCATCAGCGTGCCTGGAAGAGGAGGCCATGTGCAGCCTTACCGGCGAGTGGTTGTTTTTGGCGACATATGCAACCGCTCAGTGGTTGCTTCTGTCATGTGCTACCACCCGGGTTATTTCCGGTTGCTTCGCTTGCCTCTGGCAGAGAATAAATATGGACGGAGTTCTGATCTCTGGAAGCGTTACTAACACAGGCACCAGTGCCACAAAAGTCCGGGTCTAAAACTGAAACTGAAGAAAATTCTCTCCCGCATCCGCGCCGCCGCCTCCGTTCTCCGAGGAGTCCGTTCGTCTATGTACACTAACGTCTGGTTTATTTTGCGCCGTCGGATCCGCTGCTTCTATTATAATTCAGACCATGGTGTTGTGTTGGTCTTCAGCTTCATCTCTGTTCTATTTTCGAGAATCTCGAAGACTCCGTAAATTTAATGCAGGCGCGTTATTCCACATAATAAAACGGGTTTGATGGCGCTGGTCAGCGCAGGTGAAATGAGGTACTGACTTCTTGCCCTAAAATAAATGCCGGGGGAGGCGGCTGCAGAAATGATGGCATACACATACATCGAATCGGCGATGAGTACTGCGACTGGAGATATGCAACTCAGAATCCAAAGGCCTGGCATAGCTGTGCCTGGTATGCAAGAGGTACTTTCTCCAGGTACTTTCTGACATGAATCCCCACATCCATATATTCAAAGATCCTGGTATTTCTGCTGTCCCACGAAAAACTCGTGGAAAATAAACGTGGTTGTGTCAGCGACATAGGCGAGAAGTAGCTCATCGAATCATAATGCAATTTGTAATTTCAGGTTCTAAACCGAAAAAACTGACCGGTGGCATAACTGAGACGGTGGCTGCAGCAAATTCTTAACCGAAACCGACCGGTGATATTTATTGTGGCGGTGATTGCATCGGGTTTAACTGATATGTGGGAAATCGTTGTTCCTTTCTTCTATCTCTTCTGCACGGTGGTGAGTTTTGTTGATTTTACGGGGTTATATATATATATATATACATAAATTTTAATTTGATGTTTCCCATCCACGTACAGTTTAAAGTTCCAATTTCAGCCCAGGTACGCGTGGTACTCACGTACGGGCATGTGAAAGTTTTGACGGGAAAATCACTAACTCGGGAACCAGAAAAGCTAGAAAGCTGCAGTTTTAGAGGCACCTAAAATTTCCATAAAATTGCGGCTTCCTGCTCGATTTGCTTGTAGAGCTTTTCTGGTTCTGAATTTGAAAGCGGGTAACAAATTGCATTTTCCAAGCACGCACACCCAGGGTTATATATACATATATATATGTATACATCACACTGTGCAAGTTTTTTAAGTCAGCGAGAGATTTAAAGAAGGTAATTGTGCTGCAACAGTCAGCATAATTGACTTTTTTGGTCCGTTCCTGGATGTACCTCTTCTCCCTCATTGCTTCGAAAATATTCAAGATAATAACACAGAAGATAGCCATATGCAGTATTTGAGCGATAAAAAGCGTAAAAATTTTTTTTTTGGTGGTTTTATTTACAGCCGTAATGCAGTGTGCACAAACTGTCACTGAAAAATGAACAAAAAAGCCACAAAAATATTGAAATAAACTGAGTTATTGAAATAAATATCTTCGAAAAGTGTGAAAATGTTGGCATCAAAATTTCGCTGTCATTGAAATACACTTGCACACATTGAGTAACTTTGCTGGACCCTTTTGTCATGAACTGCACCTTTCCAGCCACACACACATAACGTTCACGTCACAATAAAATAAGCAAATATATTTTTTTATTAATTTTTTTTTTTAAATTGAATTATTTCGAGGGTTTCATTTACGGAAACAAGATGTTTCAGGAGTTGCGTCGAGTGAACTATGACTCAAGCTATGCATATCTTTCGGTGAGCAATGGCGAAGAGGAACAGAAATTCTGCGTAAATTATGAGCAGTGGAGAACGCGACCGATTGCTGTTGACTCAGCAAATGCCGTGAGTACAATTCAGGCTATGAGATAAAACATGTTAAAATTTCAGAAGTACTGATTAGCGAAGAGAATTCGAAAAAATTAGAAACTTTACAGCGACCGGAACATAGCACATGAGGATTAATGCCTGAATTCATGGAATGGCAGGAAAGTTTCGCGCATTCTTGCTTAGTTTTAAGTTTCGTGATGACTCACAGCTTCCTTGAAAATTGGCAGAAGGGCTGAATCATTACTTTTTGCGCAAAACTAAATGAACGATCAGCACGTCGTGGACACTTTTTTTCGTACGGCGTGTTTCGCTTCTAGCGATTCAGTTAAAATTTCTAGAAAAATATTTTGGGTTTTTGATGAAAATCCGATTTCTAAACAAATTATTGTTTCTATGGAAGAATCCTTGTAAAACATTTTTGATGACTTTGTGTTTTCTTTTAGTTCTTTACTATCTTATTCCTCTTTTAAATAATTTACTAGCTAATTTTGCTATTTTTTAAAATTTGCTATTTTTTATGATTCATTTTTTGATTATCACTTTTGATAATTCACTGTCTATTACCTTGAAGTAGGCAAGGCAACTGAGAAAGTTACCCTTTTGTACAGTTGAAGAATCAAGCAGTGAATTAACAACAAATACAAAAAATAAAAAAATAAAATGCGTCGAACACACCTGCACAAACAGACACAGACAACTCCGTGACAATGTGCAATAGCTGCCTAAAACCCATAAGAACGCAGAAATGTTTAATTGATGATCAGGAATATTATCAACAGCAGTGTACCAGCATCGTAGATCCGAGAGCGGAAAGAATGGCACGCAGATTGCTGGCGATGAAAGTGGTCAAATTCCGGTTTTCAGGAAGTGCTGCGGCTTGGTTGGTGGGGTGGAAAAATCAACAACACGAACGTGTGCAATAGGAATCTATCATTGCAATATACAGAACAAGTTGTTGCGCTGAATTATCGTCTCTCGCTCGAGGATGGCCCATGTGCACTCCCGTTTGTTACCACTAATACGAGTTTCAAGGGAGCCATACAGTACGAGGTAGTAGTTTCCCCCTACATTCTTCTTCTTCGCCGTATAATTTTTTGTAAATTGCCTGTTCAGTTTGTCCTGGTCACAACAGATCAATTTGTGAATCCCGTAGTTATGGAATGTGATTATGTTTTGTCATTTTCACAAATGCCAGAAGTTAATTTCAGGTGAATAGTTTGACTTCACAGAATGCTAGCGCTGCAATTTTACTTGTTGAAAGAGGCCGGAGATACATCAGTAGATGGGGCGATTACTTGGTTAGCTCCTGTTTCTATTTACCAAGCATTATTTCGCTGTAGCAAAATTTTACTGCAAAAAAGAACTGTTTTTTGGCAAAAATTTACTGCAGGAAAGAACACTGATCCGAGTAAAATGTGCTGATTTTTTGGTTCTTAAAATTTGTCTTTCAGTTTTCGGAATTTTATGACCCCGACTTGAACCAGTCGACGCAGCTGCCAACATTTTTCATGTACAAAAGCGTATTTTTTAATGAATTATTGGTAATTTTTTCATTTATTTTTGTCGTAAAAGTTCAATGTACACATTTGCATCCATAGCGTGAAATCACATTCAACCAGACTGTAATGTCTGAAATACTGTATTACTAAAAACAGCCGGGTAAACTGATGCTCATAGGTCGCACAGTGATGCTGATGCGAATATTTAAAAAAATTGTCTTATTTTGCTTTTTTTTTTGCTTCCTGCTCGGTATGGGTAAACGGCTAAATTTTTGTCAAATGTGCTTCTGTTGGATCAGAAGTTGATTTGCTATTTCTCCTCGGAAGATGAAATGAAAAGTAGAATCATTAGCATAGTGCCCACTAGGCAGTACGTATTAAAGTATCAAAGGAGCTGTAAAAATTGGCAGTGATACTGTTGAAAATCGGACTATAAATTGAGGTTTTATTGTATTTTGAGACTTTCAGAAGTTAAGCCAAAATAGCGCCGGAAGCGATTTATTGCTGCGATTTTATCGACCGCCAAGTTCGCTGTGGGATATATCAATGGCAATTGTATGGATGATAGCAATGTTCTGTGTGGCCGTTGGTGGGTACTGGGCTGGCCTTCGCAAATTGTAAGTTTTAGGTTTTTCTTTATCCACAGATTGCGAACTGATCTCTCGCTGTATTCTTTCACTCTGTTTTACTCATTAGACAAACATCCTTTGTATAAAAGCACAGATGCCGTGGTCGTTTTTGTTGATTTCTTTAGAAAACAGGTTGGACAACTGCATGGCTCTTAAGCATCTCTGTGCCGTCCTAAAAAAGTACGGGTACGTTTTCTTTTTCTTCAATAAGTTTTAGAACACTTTTTAGGATCAAAATACTTTTTAAATTGAGTTTCCGTCAAAACACTTTTTTTTTAATGTTAGTCATTGCTGAAGCACTTCTGCAAAGGCGCATATTTCAAAGAGTCACTGGAAAAATGTTTCTTTCTTGCTGTTATTTTATTTATGCATTTTGGGATTCGAAGTGCTAATGAAAGCAAAGAATCTGTATTGTAGTCTGTGAATAAACGCAATTTTAATATGTCCAGATACTTGGAGATTACTGTGAATAAGGTTTTTTTTTTTT